TAATAATAAGTTTTTTTTTTGTGGTTTATGGTGATCATCATATACACACAATAGACATATGTGCACTGTTACTTAAATTTGATCAATGAAAACTCGTGTTCAACTAATTATATAACATCAATGATTTAAGTTTTACCATAAACAACTAATTAATGGTTAGAATTTAATGATAAGAGCCATAAACATGTGTGTGAATTTTAGGAAAATTTTTTGCTCTGTGCATGATGTGAATGGGAGGGGGGGGAATGGAGAAGCAAAAACAAAAAACGAAAAAAAATTTTATTGATCATATATTCCAAATGATGATATGAACATTGATTGAAAATCAATCGAAAAGAAAAAAAATTTTTTCCAGGAAATTTTATTTTTTCTCACACTTCCTTTTTTTTCTGTTGAACAATTAATCTTTTCGGAATGAATTTTTCCGATATTTCATTGATGCAAATGTCCAGGTTATTTATCGGATTAGATTTATGGGGATTTTGTTTTTTGTTTTTCTAACAAATGGTTTCGTTTGGTAAAGCATCAATTAATCTTGAATGTCCGTTTCGAAGATGCGTTTGTTTTTTTTTTTGGCGTATATAACCATTTTGTATTGTCCTATGTTCTATATTCGTTGAAATCAACAGGTTTTTTTCTGTTGTATGAATGATATTGGTAGGCTAAAAATATATATCGAAATATGAAATTCAATTTGATTGGATCTACCCAAATTGTATGTGCCTTAGTTGATTTGATTTGATTCGGTGATCGAATGTATATTCGATGATGATGATGATCGCCAATCATATCAATCGTTTGTCAAATTGGTTTACAATCTTGGTACAGGCATAAATGAATGAAATATGGCTAAAATATGATCTATGCTCGAATATTAGTTTTGAAATTTAATAGATTTTTTTTCCTATGTGATCGACTAGAAATAAGATTGGCTAAATAAATTGCCTTTCAAATTTTCTAATTATTATTATTGAATCAAAATGAACACAACAAACTCATCCTAATGATGATGATGATTGTGGAAATATAAGAACAGAAAATAACAGCTAATGCATGTCAGTAATAAATCAAAAAAAGATAATTGATGTGAAAAAAGAAAAAAAATTTTTTTTTCTTTTGGCCTTAATTAATTAATGAATAAATGTTCGGACAACAACAAACATTTCAGACAAAACTTATTAGACATTCATAATGATATATGAAACACATCATCATCGCCATCATCATCATCATCATCATCATCATCACAATGATGGAACAGCAAATCAAATCAAACAAGTTTGAAAGAAACAAATTTTGTCTACAAATCATTTCCATGTTCTCTTGCAACAACAACAACAACAATCATTGAATGTTGTAAAGCTGTCAAATTATCCAAATTGCTTGTTGCTGTTGTTGTAGAGATGAAAAACAATTTTTTTTTTTCAAAAGTGATTGACTTGAATTCAAAATATTTATGTTCTAATCTTATATCCAAAAAAAAAAAAAAATTCATTCCAATGCAACTGAGAAAAAAAATTCAAAAATTCAAGAATTCAACATTTATTGATATCGATCACGATAACGATTATGATTGAAAAGAATCATCATTTGCCCATGATTCAAAAATAGACAAGCAGAGTTGATCAAATCATCATCAATGTCGAATTTGATTGAGTTTTGATTCAGTTTTGTTTTATCTTGTTTTCCATCTATTGCATAAATCAATCATCATCATCGACCACAACTAACATGTTGGAATTAAATATCTGCATTGAATCAAAATTTTTGCTTTTTTTCTATTTCAAAATAAAAACTGAATACATTAATAAATGAATATGAAATGACCATATACACAAACATGATCTGAACAAATTATTCAATTATTTACTCGATCGATAAGATGAAATAGATCGACTAAATATTAAAAAAGGGAGAGAGAGAGAGAAAAAAAAAATTTGTTATGGCTCATACATCGTGTACATGTCATGTTGTTTGATCGGATTAAAATCAGATATTGCACACACACAGACACACACATCAAATTGATGATTTATGGTAAAATTGCCTAATTCGTTTCTTCATTTTTTTTGTAGAGATGAATAAATAGATTGAATGGATCATCATGTATAATTGATTTTGATTGATTTAAAATCACAATCATCTTAATGATGATGATGATGATGAGAGGCATACATAGAGGCATGTTGTTGTAGTTGTTTTCATCTGTTGATGAAGAATGATGATAATAATTTTGTTGTTGATTTCAAATTTAAAAGTCATCACCATTATCGTCATATATATAATCATCATGTATGTATGTTAATCATTCAATGAAGAAGAAAAAAAAATTTTTTTTTTGTTTGTTTATTTGCATGTGCGTTTCCCGTTAAATGCTCAAAATATGATGCTGATATTGATGAACAAAGGAAACAGGTACATTTTTTTTTTTTTGACAAAAAAAAATTTTTTTTTTTTGACACTTGTTGTTGCTTGTTATGTCAACATGGACAGACAGTAACTAACTAACTAAACATGATGAAAATTATTATTATGAAAATAGAAAAAAAACAAACAATAATGACAACAAAAGTAAGAGAAAAAAAAGGGAAATTTAAAACAAATTATCCTGAAAAAAAAACAAAATAATAATAACAGTGATTGCGGCTAGTTAAAGAAAGAAAATAGAAAAAGAAAATGGAAAAGAAAAACATTTCAAACATATATGATAATCAAAAAAAAAAGAAGAAGAATGAATGACCACACCATACGTCATAGAAACAAACATATTACATATTAACATGAAAACATTAATCTATCTATATGTGTATGCAAATGTGGTATGTATAATTCAAAATGTTTTTTTTTTCGCTGGAATTTCATTTCATTTTTTTTTTTTTTTTGCCATTCATATCCGACAACAAATCAGACAGGTAGTCATGATGATGATTATGAATATAAAAAAGAATTGCATTTAATCCATTATGACATGATGTGTGTGTGTGTGTGTGACAATTAGTAAAAAAAAAAAAAAAAAAAAATGATTATGGCAAGAAAACATGAAACAGTGCATACAGTCTTTTTTTTTGTCTTCCATAAAAAATATAAGTATACATACTCTATAGGTATGACAATTAGACAATTATCACAAAATGCAGTGCTAAAAATGAATCAATTGAATTCACTTTGTAAATGAAAGTAAAATAAAATCTTGTTAGATTCTGTCATTCACATTTTGTCATCTTCATTCATTTTGGTTAAATGAATGAAGATTTGAATCAAAAAAAAAAAAGGTTTTGTTTTGTTTTTTTTTCGCTATTTTCGGCTACCACTGTTATCAAATTGGAGTTATTTTTTTTGGCAAACAACAACCGTTTCCATTTCATTGAAAATGACAAATAATTTTTCATTGTGTGTGGCGCTGGTAATCAGGTATGCATTTTTGTTTTTTGCCAGAATGGTAGAATTTTTTTTTTTTTCGTGAATAATAATAACAAATATTTAAAGTTCCAAAATGAAAATGAATGATAAAAAAAACAACAATATGATAGGAATCAAAATTTCAACTTATTGATTGGCTGATATTGTTTATGGAAAACAAAATTGCATGAAAAGTAATTAAAACTGAAAAAAAAAATTTCTAGAAATACACTATTATTGATCTATGATAATCGATTCACCTCTCTCTCATAATAATTGTGAATACGGTGTTGGTTTTTCAATAATCAATTTTTCAAAACAACAAGTGACCACGTTAACTAGTGAATGATAATGAACCGATTCTATATTAAATACCGATCTGTTCCGAACAATGAACATGAAATTCACGTTAAATCAACTCTTCAAAAAAAAAGTTGACGAACTATAAAACAAACTTTTAGTTTCCACAAACATTAATGGCCATTTGGAGAAAATAATTGTAGAATTAATTATAAATTTTAAAAAGAAAAACCTTTTGTGTACAAACATTCGTGCATTTATAATGGTTATTCATCATCATAGAAATGAATTCTTTTAATTCTTGAAAACATTTTAAATTGATATGTTATGAGAAAAACAAGTGAAAACTTTACCGAAATTGTCAACAACAAGGTAAAGTTTGACGTATTCTATTCAGTTTGTTTAATGATCATTCACAGTTCATTACAATCGTAAGATTCATTTGGAACATTTGAAAAAATGTTTCTTAAGATAAAAAAATTTTACTATTGTCAATTTGAAGAAATTATGCATCCGAAAAATAAAAAATTTTATCTCTGGAAACATCGATATGAAACTGGTGTTATGATTTACTATCAATTACGAATAATCATCTGTTTAATCATTCATTTTACTGGTTATTCAACTGATTATACATGTTATGATCCGATATGTTATCTAGTGAAAAAATATAAACCAAATCTTTATCATCAATATCTATTCTTCATGTTTGGATTGCCTGGTTTAGGTATTCTTGGTAAATATGTTTTTCATTTCAATCCAACTGATTCATGGACATTTCAATTACCATATGATATTGTTGTACGTAATACAAATCATCTGAAACAATATGAATATTCACAAACAGAACAGGAAAATTTATTACGTTTAAAATATCAACAAAATTTGCAAAAATATTCATCAAATAATCATTTATTGGGTAAAAATTTAACAAATTGGTTTGGCTGGCATTTAACAAGACTATCATATTGGTTTAATATGGAAAAAATTAATAAACGTTTAGCACAGGAAAAACGTTTACGAACACATTTATATTTCTCTATAGAATGTCGAATATTTATCTGTAAAACATATCTGATTATCGATGGAATCATCTATCAGATTCATATGTTTCTTGGTAAGAATTATATATATGTTTTTATTTGGAAAAAATTTCATCCATGTGAAAAAATTTTCAAATAACAGGACCAACGGTTTTCATGTTTTCCATATTATATTATAAGATTGTTATGAATGAATATCATATCGATAAATTATGGCAACATATGATTTTATTGTTTGAAGTAATAACAATTGGCAACATGATCATGACCGTATTACAATTGGGATTCTTTTTCTTATTGTTTGCATCATCACCAACATTATTAAAAGCATTTCAACTTCGAGATTATGATCGTACATTATTAATGGTGGTAAAATATTGTAAACAATTAACTAGAATGTTGATCAATGATGTAAGAATGAATCCGAAAACAGTCAAAACATTTGTATTAGATCGATCGATATATAATTTTCTTAATTGGTTCATTTTGGAACATGGTCGTATATGTGTGGTTACAATGAAAGCATGGCGTGGTCAATTTATTAAAAGTTTTCTAATTTATTTTATCATCAGTATACCATGGAATGTTCTTTGTGTTACAACATTGATTCTAAATGAAACATTAACAGGATCTGATGAATTTTTCATCTATTCGTTGACCATTTTTCATTCTTCATTGACCATATCATTATTGGAAGCATTAGCCATTCAAAGTAATTCATTACATCGACCAGCCAAACATTTAATACCAATTATACAGGGAATCAATGGAAAAAATTCTATTTGTATGAAAACAAAATATGAAGATCTTTATTCACGACTTATTTGTGGTCCACGTTATGGTCCACGATTGGCCATGATTGGTGCCATTACACATTTGGTCATTTTTAATGTATGTACATCTGAATGGTTAACTAATTGTTTTTTTTATTTTTGATTTCTAAATTTCATTCCATTTTTTTTATCCACCTGTAAACATAGATGATTGGCATGTATATTGGATGTTTTATATTCGTATTTAGCCATATTTATTTTCAATTAAAATGAAAATAAATTATAATGTTTTTTTCACCAATTTGTCACTAAAAAAATGAATCGATAAAACTATAAATCAAGCCAATTTTTTTTTTCTTATTCGAAATCAAAATCGTTCATAAACAAAAAAAATTTGGATGAAAAATTTCATTTTTCCCCTTCTCCATTATTCATTCGAATTATTGATAATTGTATGTCGTAATTCAGTGATGAAAATTGATGATGAAATTAGATCTAAGGGAAAATAATTTTTCTATCGATCGTTGTCGATAGAAAAAAAAACATTTTCATTCATTCATTCTATTGTTTAACGATATTATTACGAAATAATAATTATCATTTGAAGAATGAACAAAATGTGAACACACACACACACACACACATTCGTCATAAAAAAAATTGATTGTTTAGTCACCAAATTTCATTTTTCTTTTCTTTTTTCGTTTGTTTTTCCATTCTTTACATACGTATACACACACACACACACACACACACATATGATCAACTTACTGGCACTTAACAACCACATTTCATTTCATTTGTTTCAGAAACAACAATTACAACAACAACGAAATAGAAAAATAAAACACCAACACATGTACAAATGAACATTTTTGTTATTACCAACAAAAAAAAAAAAAATAAAAATAGGTAGTTTACAATCGTGTGTCAGGCGTTTGATTATTTTGTTTTTTTTCTTCGTTTCCTTTTTTTATATAAATTAAAAACCTGGAATTATATAAAATGTTCCAATTAAATCCTAGACTAGGAATGATATGGATCCGAAAAATTTTTTTAGGGCACCCTTTTTTTCAATGATTTTATTGGTGCGATATTGTTTATGAATCAATTAAAAATTGATTCATCATCATCAACGTAGCCATTATATATTTACAATAAAATAAACGACAATTTCTTTTCATTTTTTTTTTTCGTTGTTGTCTTTGTCTGATTTCCTTATTTCATAATCTCGGTGAAAAATAAATATAAAACATGACGATGATCATATGAGCGGCAATGAATCCAATGATGATGATGATGATGATGATGGTAGCCATTGATTTATGATTGATAGATGGATCGTTTTTATCTTCTTCTTCTTCATTTATTTATTTATTCATTTATTTCAGTACAATCTTGTATATATAACGGTAAATGACATAAGTTTGATGGATGACAATGGCCGCAGGCTTCATATAAAAAAAACAAAAACAAAACAAAATCGTTTGAATGATTGGTATAGCCAAAAAAGTAGTAGAAAAAAAACTTGGTACAACTGATATAATTGATGATCACAATGTGTCAAATTGTGTCACATCAGCATCGAAGTTTTTGGTTCAATAATAATGTGGTTTGTTGCAATTTTGTTTAAAATATTTTACATTTCTGTTGCTTCTCATTTTCCTTTTATTCATTTCATGTTTTTATCACTTTTTGAAATCCGAAATAAAAATCGGATTTTTTGGGATATTTCTTCTCACATCATTTCTTCACAGGCCAAACATTTGCAATTGTAGCTTAAATGTTTTGGCTATTAATCCCCTTACCACAAACGAAAAAAAAATCTAATCAAAATTTTGGAATGATTGTGTGATGATAATGATGATAGAACCAGGAAGATCAAATTATCATATTTTTTTTCTTTAATTTTAAAAATCATTTTCATATATTTCCCGCTGGTTATATTGGGAATGTCGAATATGTGAACTGATTACATAATTTCGAACGACGAACACACACTATAGTGACAGACAACTTGCAATATATCTGTATGATTTTATTATCATAAAATATCGATCGGATGTTAGTAGCTGGCGATTGCGAAAAAAAAAATTGAAAAAAAATTTTCACACCACCACCATCACCATCATCATCATCACTTTTTTTTCATAAATAATAATTTGATGATTCAAAGAAACCCGTTCATATAAATGTTAAATTAAATCAAAGAAAAAAAAAATATTGACCGAATCAAAGATCATCAATTTTGTCGTCGGCGTCGTTGTTGTTGTTGTTGTTATCATCATGCACCTAGTCATTCATTTTTGATCGATAAAAATCAACACCATGCTGATCAAACTTGCATCATCATCATCATCGTCATCAATTGACCATATGATTGATCAGTAACAACAACAACAACAACAACAACTGGCATTATCTGTTACAATAAAAAGTTATAATCTTTATTTCTGAAAAAATGAACAATAAATTTAGTTTATAATAGTTAAAAGAAAATTTGGTAACATACAAAGTGTTGGGTTAACATTAATAATTTTCACTTGGATCAAAAATCACAAAATTACAAGAAAAGCATAAACACACACAAAATGATTTTCACATCAAAAAGTTCGATAAATGTGCTTTCGACTATTCAGCCATATTCACAAACAATGTACCGCAACAATTCTCCCGCCGAGAATGTGATATCCAAACCAAACGATTCGTTGGTCTCCACAATTCTGTTCCATTAATTCGAATTTTTACAGTACGACATATGCCATCAGAACCATTCTTGACTTCCATTACTTGTCCAATAGGCCAATTAGAACGTTTAGTCAGATATTCAGGCAACATTAACCAATCACCAATTTGCACATCAGTCGATTTGTTGGTTGACATTCGAGCCAATTTCTTCAGGTATTGGGACATCCATAATTTGGCAACTTCTTTGACAAATTTTGATCTCTCATTTTTCATTTCCCATACGTTGTCCATATTATTTTCTTGATTTAGATTCATGGTACGACCCATCCATAGTTCAAAGGCAGAGAAAAAACGGCCATCATTTTGTATTATCGGTCGTTGGTTAATAACAAATTCCACGTAATTAAAATTTCGTTGCAAAGAAAAAAGTGAACGGGCCTTTTTTGGCAACATTTTCAAGCATTCCTTCACCAATCTAATCATTCGTTCGGCTGCACCATTCATCCAAGGCGCCAATGGTGTTGACGTTTTCCAATTAACAGTATTTGTTTGACCAGATAGGGCCAATTTATTCAATTTTTCACGAACAGCCATAAAATTGGTTGCGTTATCCGACCACACTTCCGTCGGATATCCAACTTGATTCCACACGGTTCTCAAAGTATCATATAACGAATTTTCGGACAAATTTTCGAGAACACTAACTTTAACCGCTTTTGTTGTTCGACACATAATAACGATTCCATAGCATTTTTTACCATTTGCAATAGTTAACGGTCCAAACGCATCCATCATTATACATTCAAATGGCTTCATGAACCGTTTCTGAATTTCATGTAATGGTCCCAGTGGTTGTTTAATTGCATTACCTCGGATCATTCGGCATAAGACACAATCATTAATTATTTTTCTCATATGACGATTAGCATTTGCAATTCGAACTTCATTCAAAACCATTGCTAATGACATTTCACATCCACGATGAAGCGATTTTTTATGTGCCAATTTCAACATTTCGTTAGCCAGAATTGTATTTTTTGGAATCCATATAGGGCGATTTTCCAAATCTCTTGACCAATAATGCAACAGTCCATTCTTATCGACCAAATTATCTGCGCGTTTCAATTCACTACGTTGGTAAATCAGGTATAAGGTATGTAGAGCGTTAAAATGAGGTTTTCGGTCGGTAGCACTTTCCATCCAATTCAAACATCGTTGTATCCATTTTGTCATTTTTGAAATCACACCGCATTTGTCCATCCAATTCCGCACCGTTTGATCAGGAATCCATGTTTCTCGAATGGTACAAATCAATTTCGTTACAACAGGTTCACTGCTATCAGCGATCATTTTATCAATATCGATTTCATATGGTTTGACGGTAATATAACGTTCAGCGTTACATCCTCTCGAAAACAAATCAGCAGGATTAAGTTTACCACTTATGTGCCGAAACTTAGCATGAATTTCAAACCCAGTCATTAGAATCGAGAGCAATCGACGTGCAATCGAAATCTGAAATTCATTCGGTGACGATTTTAATCGATCAATGTTTATTTGCGAATCGGTAAAAATTTCAACTTCGCCAACATATTTCAAATAATCAACAATACGCGAGGTGGCTTTAACGCCTTCATATAATGCCAATAATTCCAAATCGACGATTGTTCGACCACGTGGAGATATTTTAGACTTTCCAAAAATCAGATCTTTTCCCAAATATATGGCGTAACCATAACCATCAAAACTTGCATCCACGAAACATGACACTTGCCTTTGATCTTCAACATAACGGACAAATTTAATTTCATTCAATTCATTTAATCCAATCGTAAGATCGTTGATCTTGGATACAATTTCTTCGTCTAAATCATCATCCCAATCCTTATCCTGGATTGTAGCAAATTCTTTACGAAATAATAATTTCACAGGTTCACAAAATCCTAAAGGATCAAATAGTTGACCAATAAATCGTAATAATTTTCGTTTCGTATCAATTTTATCAGGGATTTTCCAATTAATATTCAAATAATCATCGATACAATTCCAAACCAAACCAAGCAATTTACAGCTTGACGATTCGATTCCAAAACAATCACGAATAAATGTAGAATTCGAGACCATTTTATGTAGAACAAAACCAGACGATTCAAACGATGATTTTGCTTCATTCATTACATTCAACAACAAAGATTCTGAATGAGATACGGCGAGCAAATCGTCCATATACATAGAATTTTCCAAAATACTTCGTGAATTCAACGACATGTTATTAATAATGGTTGACACAACTTGCGTCAATATTGCTGGCGCACTAATAACACCAAATGGCAATACAATCATTTGCATTATCATCAATTGATTACTTTGATTCTTCCATAAAAATCGTAAATATTGGCGATCAGATTCATCGATAACGATTTGTAAAAACGCCTTTTGTAAATCACCAATACAAAGAAACGGAGCCATTCTAATTCTCACAAGATGAGGCAATGTATTCAAATTCAATGATTCACCTTTCCAAAGCAAATCGTTCAATGAATTCCAACCGAATGACGCATTCAATACAATTCGAAACTTGGTAGTCGCGGCATCAGGTCGTTCAACTTCATGATGTGGGATAAAATACCCATCTGTTTCATTAATAATCTCGGCATGATTATTTTCAACAAATTTCATTAATTCAGATTCATATTGTTCCAAAAGACCTTTTTTGCTCAAACGAGATTGCAGACGATCAAGATGTTCAACCGCTTTATTAAAATTATTCGGTGGTCTTTTGCTTGAGAAAAACGGTAGCTTAACTTTAAATCTACCATTATCCAATTTTTCTATTTGTAAATTCATTTTTCCATCATCAACTTCTTCAGGACAATCATTTTCATTCCAATTTACAACACGTTTTTCATTTCGTTGTTCAATAACGTTGATCACTTTCATTGATTCAAGATCTATATCGCCAAACACGGTATGCCAAACACGGTGACCATCACGAAATAATTTGGCCATGTAATCTCGACCAACAATAACATTGTTTAATGGGACACCATCAGAAACATAGGCCTCTATGTTTGATTTGCCATCAGGATGCGTTATAACTATATCAGCAACCTGTTCGACGATTCGGGACATGGATTTTTCGAATCCACAAATCTTTATCGGTGTGACTTTACGCCGGCATTCTAAAGGAGCCAAATTGCTGGCAACAACTGATACGTCAGCGCCGGAATCTATTAGTATGTCACATTCATTTCTGCCGATACGGCCACGGAATTTACCAATATTAAATCCAGTTGAACCACGCACGACGTTCATGTCCGCGGTAGCCACAGTTTTTACTTCAGTTTCAGCAAAATTTATACCATGCAATGATGTCGGATGATTGCTATTACATGATGTACACTTTATTACGTCCTTTCGACGGCAATCCATTGATTTGTGTCCAGGCCATAGACATATATGACACAAACCTTTATCAAATACAATTTTCTTTTTATCGGAGCTGGACAATTCACTTTTACAAACGGTAGCCATATGTCCAGGCTTATCACACAAAAAACATTTCTTCATTGGGTTAGCCATCACAGATCGAACAGATGATACTCTGGGCTTTGGTTCAACATTTTTCACAGATTTTGCCGACAACTTAAGCTCAGCATTATGTTGTGCCCACGTTAGGGCATGGCGATGAGCCTTTTTAACCCGTTCCACAAGATCGTCCAACGATTGACATTCAGCAATGATTTTTTCTGATTCTTTTTTCCAAAATTTATTGGCAATTTTCCAAACTATTTGGGACGTGTTATCGACATAACGAGGACCCAAGTTAAACATGGCATTCGCAAATTCTTCAATTTGCGTTTCAATCTTTCCAAGACCATCGGTATCGTATTTGTCCTTCACATTGGTCATTTTCAGTATCATCGACTGGATGTACATATTTATGAGCTCAGGATCTTCGAATTCTTTCGACAAGGCTTTCCAGCTCTTTTTTATATCCATTTTTTGGGTTTCGCATCGATCCCATATCGAAGATGCTTTACCTCTTACAATACCGGAAATGATGATTCTTTTTGAACTTTCAGAAATATTTTTCCGTTCAATAATCAGCGATTCAACACGACTTTTGAACGCTGGCCATTCAGCAACATTATCCTTAAACGATTTGATTGAATTTACAATTTTGTAAATCGGTATATCATTTTTCGCATCAGGATTGGATCCACTAGACGAAACACGATCATCATCATCGAGATGACTACCATGAGTACTTCTATCATCATTATCAGCATCAGATTCATTTAGATCCACGTCATCATCACCATCATCATTATTCAATAATTCATTCAGATTAACATTATTGATCATTGCCTTCAATATATCGTCATATTTTTTCCATAATTCCAATTCATCTTCATCAAGTCCAGCCGTACGATTTTCGAATTCTTCGTTCAGTTCGGACACCAGTTTTCGATCAAACTTTTTCGATTTGAAAGATTTCGTGATTTTTGCTTTAAAAACTCGATCGGACAATTTATCCATGATTCAATAATCCAAGATTCAAATTCAAACGATCAATTCAATAAATTCAAAATTCAATCCAAAAATCAATTCGATTCAATAAGATATTCAATAAATTCAATTCAATTCATACAAATCCAGGCCAAATCACTTTAAATAAAAGAAACTTGTTACAATAAAAAGTTATAATCTTTATTTCTGAAAAAATGAACAATAAATTTAGTTTATAATAGTTAAAAGAAAATTTGGTAACATACAAAGTGTTGGGTTAACATTAATAATTTTCACTTGGATCAAAAATCACAAAATTACAAGAAAAGCATAAACACACACAAAATGATTTTCACATCAAAAAGTTCGATAAATGTGCTTTCGACTATTCAGCTATATTCACAAACAATGTACCGCAACAACCTCATCATCATCATCATCATCATTAACGTCATCACATCCTGGATTCAAATAATATCTGATCATATAAAACATACAAGCGATTGATTTAAACTTGGCAAAAAATAATAATTAAATAAATGTGAGGCCTTTCACACCTGTTTGTTACGAACAAAACCAAACGCCCAATCCAATTGCACGCGATACAATCATGCCCTTCGTTCAACACTTTTTTTTCATTAATAAATTGGCTTTATACGATCAGCAGAATGTGAATTAAGTGATGAATCAAAATTGATTGATTGATCATTCAATTTGATCTACATGTCAACCAACCAAGTAGATTTTTCATTTCATTCAATTTGGTATTACATGATTCAAATATATCGGTTTACCGATTTTATTTATCATTTTTTTTATCTCAAATTCAATCTGATTTATTGAAAAGATCAACGTTATTGATTGAGAAAAAAAAAAGTGGAAATCATGAAAATCACCATTATCCCCATCTCAATATCGTTTATCATTTAGCTATGGATAAAATTTACTCACGTTTGAAACTTTAAGCAATCAACTATCAATTCTTTCAATCTATGGATCAGATCTTCATCATCATCTTTGATACAATGATGGAAAGCAACAGAAATAAAATACCAAATTTGGTGGGAAAAAAATTTGCAATCATCATCTTACAAGATCGGTTTGAAATCCTCTATATATATTTAAATTAATCTTCGTGTGTTTATGTTTGTTTTGTGTGTGTGTGTATGCGGCCAATGTCCACCTGGATCAATAAAGAAAATGAAAAGAAAAAAAAGAAATCGATTTCACTTTCGAATTTTTTTTTCTCCATTCAACAACAAGAAAAAAAAATCGAAAGTGAATCATCCAATGATTATGATGATGATGATGATTTGGATTGAATTTGAAGAGCCACACAGTTGTTTATGTTAAGAGTAGCAATAGCAACAGCAAAATTTAACCAAAACGAAAAAAAAAATAGAAGAAGAAGAGAAGACGAGCACAAACTAAAACGATGAATTGAATGAACAAGAAGTGCAATACAAGAAAAAAAAGAAGAAAGAAAAAAACTCTACATTTTGACTGAATAAAATGAGAGTCAATATTAACATCTTGTATATTACACATATAGATACGAAATAAGAAAATCCCAAAGACGTGAAACCATTTTGTACGTTTGTTTCAACGTATATGTCTGTGTGTGTGTGTGTAAATTCATTGTTCAATTTGAATCATCTTGGCCATCATCATATGGTGCGATATAAAGGATCATCATCATCATTTCTCTTTATGAAAAAAAAAGAAATAATATTCTCTTTGGTCCACAGATGTTTGCAGTGTATGTGTGTGTGTGTGTGTGTGTGTACGCGTTTGTTTGTATGGAGAATAAATGTAGAATGAATGAAATGTTCCAAATGCTGAAAAATTTTTTTTTCACTTTCTATTAAATTCAACTCTTTCAACCTGTTCATTTAGTCTGTTCATTCAATGATGATGATGATGATGATGATGATGATTAAAAAATTTCTTTGTTTTTTTCTCCCAATTCATTCGGGAGTGATGTTTGAATTCATCATCACCATCACCATCATCATCATCATCATCATTTTCGTTGTCTTTGTTGCCGTTTGTAGTTGTTTTCACTAAATTAGTGATGACCATCATCATCTCATCATAACTTGGAAAATCTCATCTTTACCTAAAATAATATAGAAAAAAAAACTTTCATCAGCCATCGACATCAACAACAACAACAACAAAATTATTTGATCATTGCGTGCCATCATGTCATTCAGTTATTGTTATCATTTTTATTATTATTATTATTATTCGTACAAATGAATGAGCGTCGGTGTAGAATGTGAAAAAAAGAAGAAGAAGAAGAAGAAAAATATGGTGTGTTTTCAACAAATTTCCAAGTTTGAAAATGAAAATGAATGATCCACAACAACAACAACAACAAAAAACAATGATGATGATGATGAGCGTGTTTTTTCCCCTATATGAATGAGTTTATGATTCATTTTTGTTTTGTTTTGTTTTTTTTTTTGGATCATCGTCATAAGCAACAAAACAAAACAAAAAAAAAAATTTCTGCTATTTCTTGACCAATTGTCTTTTTTTTTTTTTTTTTTTTTTTTTCATGTTTCTGTGTGTGTGTGGCACCAATTGTTCAAACGCGCGTGTGTGTGTGTGTGTGTGTGATTGTAATTTGTGTATGTGCTCTGAATGTGTCTCCTCATGATAAAAGAAAAACTTCAAAATCTCCCATATACCAACACATATGATCTGGAAATGAATTAAATCTACTATAAGGATATAAGGATTCATCATCATCATCATCATCATCATCATCATTTTTTTTTTGATAATCTTTAGGTCAACATTACGATTGTCGGCAATTATTATTATTATTATTGTAACAACAATTTCATAGGCCATAATAATAATAATAATAATCTCATCTAAAATTATCACACAATCACATCCAAACAACACCAACAACAACAACAAAAATTGGATGAAAAGAAAAAGTTATTATTGACCAATCTCATCTTTATCATTGTTTCTGTTGTAGGATTTTTTTTTGTTTTGTTTTGTTTTGTTTTTTGTTTTTTAATCGTGTGCATAAACACTGTTTGCCTTCCATATTGTCGGTCCGGTTTTATATTTATATATAGAATAGAAAAAAACACGGATATATAAGTGCAAATTGAGGAAATAACAACAACAACAACAACAGTCAATTCATGATTATAATGGCAACGATTAGATTAATTTGATTTTCATTACAATTCATCACCAACCAATCAACCAACCAGCCACCCACTCACCCATCCCATTACACCTTGTCATTATCGCATTGAATTGTATTTTTGTGCGTACCAAAACGAAAACAAAAAAAAATTCCTTGGAATTATAAATCAAGAAAAATCTTTTGGACCATCAAATAAAACAAAAATTTAAATCCGTTTTTGAAAATAATCAAACAAAAGGAAGAAAATATAGTAATCTGCAGATGCATCATCGTAATCAGCATAATCGTAGCAATCATCTTATCACATCTTGTTAGCTACACACACACATCAAATTATCCATGAATTGATGAGAATTGAATCGGATCAAAAACTGAAGAAGAGAGAAAAAATTTTTTTTCTACTACATTGGCCGTCACCGGGGAAAAAAAATTAGGGCCATAATATTATTATTATAACAAAGAAACGTACACACAAACACAGAGAGAAAAGACACCATCATGTATGACGTCCAAATTAGAACGATTTTTCGCCACCATCAACACCACCACTGCTGCCATCATAATCATCATCACCATCACAACCATCATCATCATCATAGACATCATATTAGAATGGTGCCAATAAGCTCTTGGTTCATCGTACTACTTATATCGATCAGTAAGTGTTTTTTTTTGGAGGGGAGAGGGGGATTTCTTACTGAATAAAAATTCTTCATTACAATCCATGAATGTGAATAGAAAAAAAAGAAGAGAAAATTATATACAACTGGTATATATATCTAATTTAGTTTGACAAACACAGTAAAAATAATGAAATCAATCGTATCTCTGATTATCATCATATTTTTTTTTTTTTTTTTTTTGATCTGAATTTTGGATTCATTCATTTTTTCTCAACTTTTTTTTATGATTGATTAGTTTCACATGGATATATTTTTTTCCAATTTTCATTAAATACTGTAATCCAGAAATCAAGACCTTGATTAGGAAAAAAAAGATCATTCGGCAAATGCAAACGAATGAAAATGTTTTACGGATACAACATTCGTACAAATGTGGATTAATTAAAATTTTTATTAATTGAGACATAAAGTAACACACACACACACACACACACACAGTGAGCTGTTGCTTCCTTATTGATGATAAAATATTTGAAATAAAATTTGTGATTGTGGTCTCCACTGTGTGAAAGAAAAATTGAACATTATTATTTATATATCCAGAAGATTGAAAAAAAAATTGATAAAATCTATTTTAAATTGAATTTTTTGTTTCATCTTTCTCACTATCACTTTTTTCTTCACATCAAAAATGTTTATGTCATGATATAAGATACGATAAAATCAATTTATGGTCAACTTTTCCTCTTTTTTTCCATTTTGAAATTTTGAATTTTTTTTCCACTTTCATCATCATTCATTATTATTCATTTTGTTTTGATAATCAAAATTTTTTTAAACAGAAAAATAAAAACTTTTCTATAGAAGGTGACAAACTTGTTCATTTATTGCAAACAAACAAACAAAAAAAAGGTCAAAACAGATGCTAATCAATCATCATCATCAAATTTAATCGAGTAAAAACGAATTATTATAAAATTTAATTAGAAAAGTTTAAATTTTTTTCGTTTGTTTGTTCAAATTCTTGCTGTTTAAAAAAAAGATGATTATAACTATAAATATATATGTAAAAAGGATCAATCAAATAGGATTATGGCCAATAATCAAGGTCGTAAAAGTAAAAAAAAAAATTTTTTTCATTCAAAATCCGCTAAACAAGAATTAATTATTCACAAAATTTGCAAAAACGAAATTCAACAACAACTAATTATAACTATCGACATATTGTCCATAATCAAGGATATCATTTCATCATCATCATCATCATCATCATTATTAGGATTTCAGAATCTTCATCTTTCATTTTCATCATCATCTAATATATAAACATATGGTGTTCTAATCGTTTGAAGGAAAAAAAAAAACTTTTACTTTTTTTCCAACAACAACAACAACAACAACAACAACAACAACAACAACAACAAATTTCAATAAATAAATATCATGACTAAATCATGGCTTTTATGGTGATAATAATAATGGTTCTCTTCATTGAAAAAAAAATTGAATGAATGAAAAAAAAATTCAAATAATGTTGTTGAATGGAACCATAAAAAATGAAAAAAAAAAAAATGAAAGTTCATTGTCACTGAAAAAGTATTATGGTATTATTGTCTACATTTTAAGAATATATGCCAGTGGTATTTTTGATTGGTATGGCCGATTTTGGATTATTTCGTTTGTCTTTTTTTTTTCATTGTCATTTCGTTGTGTTTTATGTTACAGATGGTGAATAGTGGATGATGAAACGCATAGATTACAGGATTGTGTTTGTCTTTAAACATCCCATCACCATTGTCGTTTGTTTTTTTTTCATTCATTCATTCATTGCCAAGACCCAGAAAAAAAGGCGATCTTTTTTTTTTGTTCAGAAAATTTTCAAAATAGAATTCATTATTCATAACAAGAAAAAAAAAATTTTTTTTAATCGATAAAAAAGATGGTCACACGTTTCGAAATTACAGAAAGCAGAACAATTTCTGTAATGGTAGCTGCTGTCCACAAATTGTTTACATTCTGGCCAATCCGGATGAATATCCAGTTCATCATTTGATGTGAAATGATATCCACCTTTTCACAATCACAATCGTATGAATTTAAATTGATCTTCATCTCGAATGTAAATTTTCCATAACCACAGCATATTCAGGATTCAAATTATTCAATCGTTTTTTTTCTTTTTTTGATTCATAATAATTATCTTATAATTTTAAATTTTCATATATTCATAATCTTGGCCTGATGATCTTTCATTGTATTAATTTCGAAACATGTGCCAAATATGATCATCATGATTGAGATTTAATCATTCTATTCTTACAAACATTAAGATAATCAAACAAACAAACAAACAAACAGACAGACAGAAAAAAAATTAATGTTTCAAAATTTAGAAACGAATGACCATTATTGGCCATATGGCAACAACAACAATAATAATGATGATAATGATAATAATCGAAACGAATTTATTTTTCTGAATGTCATATTTCATTCCATAATGTGGTAAAGAATAGATAAAAATTTTTCAATAAAAATAAAAAATTTAAGCAAAGATGTATTATTGTATTATTATGAGCAATATGTGATGTAATAATAAACTCGTTTAACGATAGAAAATTGTTTTTTCATTTCATTTCAATATTTTTACTTTTTAATGTGATGATGATGTTTGTTCGAGAATTGGCTTTTAATTTCGCTTGTCATTTTCATCATTGTAGTTTTCTATCACCATCCAATAATGATGATGATGGTTCTGTGGATTCAATCAATCGTTTCATGATTATTATTTTCTTTGTTTTACATCATTGTTCCCAATTATCATTATGTAATCAGATTTTCTTCAACAACAACAACAACAACAACAACAAATGAACAATAATTTGACCCGATAATCAGTGAATGTTTTGTTGTTGTTGTTCTTTTGCAATCAAAGAAAACAATTTGTATCGGAATAATTTTTTTTTTTTGAAGCAAGATGTCAGGCAATTTTTTTCCATCAAATTTCGAAATTTTGATCATCAAAAAAAAAAATCATTTACATCATTTTTCTAATATTCAATTATAATAAATTCAATTTTTTTTCAATCATCATCAACAGGTTCAATTGGAACATTGATTGATTGCCGTCGACAGCCACAGCCACAGCCATCAACGATAACGGAACGTTCAAAATTTATCGATGACAATGATTCAATTGATTATTTTAATATAAATAATAATAACAACAATAAATATAGCGATGAAATTGATGAAGAATTTGATGATTTTGATTGTCCAGAAAAATTTGGTTATTATCCGGATGAAAAAAATTGCTCAAAATATCATCTTTGTGATCATGGAAAATCGAGACTAAAATCATGCGATGATGGATTAGTATTTAGTACTATATTGAAAACATGTGATTGGCCATACAACGTACATTGTAATCTTGCCAATGGTGATAGAGGTTTGCCATTTGTTATTATTTTGAAATGATTTTTCTCAAATGAAAAAAAAATTCTCTTTTTTTCACATACAAAAAAAGGTGATTTTGTTGGTAGACATCTTCGTTTACGCAATAATGCTGGTACAGGTGATGTTGATGACAATAATAATAAAATTGATCAATCATTGAGTAATCGTCGACAGCCAGTATTGTCTAATGAAGCTGATGATAGTTATTGGCTTGGTCGTCCAAATACTGATCTATTAGCATATTTAAATGATGATAATGATTATCATGATATTCATCATGAAGAATTTCATCATGATTTTGATATTCCACGACGACCTGTTTTAAATAATCAAAATCGTTTAGAATCACATCGATCACTGGACGATGAAACGGAAAACAATAAACGAACCACAACCAGTAATGATGATCAACCATGGTTTCAGAACGTAAATTTTGATCAACGTCGACCAACGACGACGACGACGACGACAACATCAACATCATCACAACCCATTATTTCGATTAATCAACGTGGAAATCAAGGCTGGCGAAGCACTACACCAGCTATAAACACACAGACAACTAGAACACCAACAATGTTGCCACGAAAGGCTTTACGTTTCGGTGATAATGGTGAACAGGAAGATTTTCTTGTTACTGATGGTGGTGCTAATCGTCATGTACCAGATAATGATCTCGGTGATTATCGACGTAAACCAGCGAAAAATGATCGTGATAGTTATCGAATTGTTTCATTTCAACAACAAAATCCAATAACAACAACTACACCACAAACGACGACTACAACAACAACAACACGATCACAACCAATTTGGTTTCAACAGACAACACCACCACCAACAACTGCAATACAAACCGCAACACAAATAGAATCACGACCTAGACATCTTGGAACTTCTGTACGCCGGAAAGTTATTCGTAAAAAAGTTATTCCACAAATTACCACAACAATTTCGACGACTTCAACAACAACTACAACAACAACACCGGCACCAACATTTAGAAGTGTAGCCGATTTTTGGAACAATAATGATCCATGGAAATCTTTCCGTTATGAACCGGTTAATCGTGGTCAATCGAATCCAACCACTTTGAATCCGCCGACAACTATTGGTCCAAAACATATTAGTTCAATTCGACGAACCATACCTAAATTTGAAAATCGACAACGTTTCGAACGAAAACCCGTTCTACGAGATGAAAGTGAAGATGCTAATGAACGTATAAACGATGATGATGATGACGATGATTATGTTGTTGGCAGAAATTTTGTCTACAATACACCAGAAATTGTACGAAATAAAAATTCAAGCCATCGCCTTCATATGGATGATGATTTATTATTGCCAAAAAATAAGGTCAAAGATGTTTCCAATAATATAAATAGTGGTGGTGGTGGTGGTGGTGGTGGTGTAAGATTTAAACCGGTCAATCCAAGACCAGTAACACCATCAACAATAACAACAACAACAACGACAACAACAACAACAACCGCCCATGGTAATAGAAGAAATAATAATCGAAACAATAATCAAAATTTAAACAATGCATTCGATGCTGGTTTCCGTCATGCAATATTGCCAATAAATCGTCCAATTAGTTCATCATTACAGCATCAACCACCACCACCACCACCACCACTCCCATCATCGAATACCGATATTGAATATGAAGATTTAGAAAATGAAGATGAAGATGAAGATGTTGATGATATCGGTGCAAGTGATCATGATGATGATAATAACAACTTCAATAACCGGTCGAATGATGAAAATAGTAATAATCAATCATTGAATAATAATAATAATAATAATAGAGAAATTATTGTTCGCTATGATGATGATGCTGATGATAATAATCATCATCATCATTTGGATGCAACAAGACGGCGACAATTGCCATCTAATCATCATCAATTTATAAACAATAGTAATAATAATAATCATTTTTTAAACAACAATATTCCAATAGCAAGAAATATTGCATCACAATCACCAAATAAATTAACAACAAGAATATTTAATGATGATAAAAATATCAATACATTCGTTCATCATAGACTACCATCATCAACGTTAAATAATTCAGGTAAGCTTTAATTTTTTTTTTACATTTGAATTTTTCTACACACACACACACACACACACACACACGTACACACCTTTGAACATGCAACTTTAATATATACAGTTGAATAGCATAAGTTCCTGCTATTTTTTTTCGTTGTTTCTATTATTTTCTGAATGGCTTACAACACTTTGAGATCTTGTGATCTTGAATCCATGAAAAATATATTTCTTATTGGTCGCATATATGCAAACACACACACACACACACACACATATAAACACTTGAAAATATGAGTGTGTAGAATATCAGAAAAATTACATAAATATCCGATCAAAAGAAGTGTATAATATTGCCCATTTAGTGATATTCAAATATTTCATTTCTATGCATGTGCATCATCATCATCATCATTTGTCACCATTCGATGTGTTTATATTGTTTCAAATTTTATCCATTAAATATCGTCCAGTTGGTTATGGGCAGAAAATTTTGACCACTACAACAGCAACAACAACAACAACAACTACAACAACAATAACTCCTTTGACGACACAATCTGTGGAATCCACAAAAAAACAGCCAACATTATTGGCCGCTAACAATGGAGAAAAGAAGAGTAGAAAATCTAAAATTTTTAACCCAATTGTGAAACCAACAACAACAACAACAACAAGAACAGAGTCAAAATTACCGGTTATAAATAATAGTACGACAAAAATTAGAAAAATATTGAAAAAAATTTCATTACAAAATCAACCAAACAAAATAACTACTACCAAAATAAAACGACAAGAATCAAAGATTCGAAAACAAAATAATACTATTTTAATTGAAAATTCTAAACATGTTTCATCATCATCATCATTAATGAGTAATGATACTAATAGTTTAGATAAAAATGTTGGTAATAATAGTCAGAGTAATAATAATAGACAAACTATCAAATCAATAGGCAATACAACAGCATCAACGATACGATTGAATGAATCGAAAAATATAACAAACGGAAATAATTCATCCACAATAGCCAATGGTCATACAAGCGGAAATAAAAAAACATCCGAAATTGGTTCACGAAATCATAATAAAGTTAATTTAAAGAAATCAAATAAATCCAACAACAAATCAAAAGATCGTACATCAAAATTAAAACCAAAAACGGATGGTAAGAAAAAATTAGATAATGATCCATCAAGACCAGTGGCAAGATTTTTTTTCGGCTCAAATCAAGGCCGAAAACGTTTTCAAATAAATGTACCGGATAAAGAATGGCGAACATTTGATGTTTCATCACAATCCATATCATCATCATCATCGAAATCATTGATTCCAGTGGTTCGGCCACCAACACCGCAACGAATTTTAACATTCGTACCAAAATATGAAAATTTTTAGGGTTAAATTTATTATATTATAAATGTGAGCTTAAGTATCAACTTTTCATTTTCAAATTGGTTTTGGTTATTCATACATTATTAAAAAACATTCACAGTCATCATGAACCATCATTCAATTCTGAATTCTCATCAAATCAAATTATAATCAATCAATGTTTATGATTGTAGAGAAAATTAAAATGATATAATAAAATTTCATATTTCATAATGTAAATCGTAATTTCCTGTCTCTATCCATCTCTCTCTCTCTCTCTTTATTTCTTCTTTCGTATTTTTTTTTCTGTCCCAATTTATTTTATTTTTTTTCAATATATAGATTTTAATGAAGATAAATAAAGGTGCTTTACACCAAATGTTTACATATATCTTCCTATACTCAGTTTTTTTCTTCCTTTACGTTCCCTTCATCCATCCGTCTTCCTCTTCCGGGCATATAATGGCAAACTAAATGATTAAACAAATCAAAAGCACGCACCGTACTCGCACATACACACACACACACACACACACAGCTACCCACATGCACACACACACAGTTGCTTACCCTTTTTTCATTCTAATTTTTTTTCAAATTAATATACCTCTCTTCTTGGTGATTCCAGAAACAGACCAGAAAAAAAACCAGGAGCCATATACACACACACACACACAGACACAATCACAGTATTGAATTGATTTCTACTTATATATAAATTAATACTAAAATTTTACTAACCAATATATAATCTTTCTTTCTTTCTTTATTATTATATTTCTATATATATATTGATTCACGATGATATATTTGCTACTAAATTATTAAACAACCACAATATATTTGAATATACAATTTCGAAAAAAAAATTTTAAATAAATAAATGAAAAAAAACAAAAAAAACTTTACGTATATATAGCCAACATACGTATTGTGGATCTGACATCGAATAATAATAATAATCGACCAATAAATCCATTACGTTTATCGAATCAATTTTTATCATTACCACCACTAACATCAAGACAACAACAACAACCACAACAACCATTTATACCTAATCCGATTCCATTTGTAACCATAGTAGGTCCATTGCAGAGTAATGCAAAAAACAAAATCAACAACAACAACTATAACAATAAATCAGCTGCATTTCAGTTAACAACAAAACCACCTGATTCATTACAACAACAATCGAATCAATTTTCATCTGGTCAAAATCATCATTTATCAAATAGCTGGCAATTATATGATGTTCCTAATCCTACCAATAAGATAATAACAAATAAAAAACAACCAATCATTATTTATCCTAATAATAATAATAATAATAAAAACAACATACAAACAACAACAACAACAACAATCATAGAATGTTGAAAAATGAAAAACGTAAAAATCCATCATCATCATCATCATCATCATTGGTCAACAATAAAAAATTGTCCAATGTTAGCTATAATCGTGCTAAACGATGTATACCGGAACGTTGTCAACCACCAGATTGTCGTTGTGGCGGTCTTGATATTCCAGGTTTGATTTTTTTTTTTACTTTGAATTTAATTTATGGATCGCTTATAATCAATAACAAAATATTTTTTCTTAGGCGGTTTTAAACCACGAGATATTCCACAAATAGTTTTGCTGACTTTTGATGATTCGGTTAATGATTTGAATCTACATATTTATCGTCGTCTATTTGAACAAGGACGTACAAATCCAAATGGCTGTCCAATATCGGCAACATTTTATGTTTCACATGAATGGACTGATTATGCACAAGTACAAAACCTATATGCAAAAGGACATGAAATTGCATCACATTCAATTAGGTAGGTTTCATTTCATTATCATTCAGTCAATTTAACTTGATTCAATTCATTTGTCTTATCTTTTCGATTTTAGCCATAGTTTTGGTGAAAAATTTTCTAAAGAACGTTGGCTTGATGAAATTCTTGGACAAAAAGAAATTCTTCATCTTTACGGTGGTGTTGATACAAATGAAATTCGTGGTATGAGAGCACCATTCTTACAGACTGGTGGTGATACAATGTTTGAAATGTTATATCAAGCAAATTTTTCCTATGATTCATCATTACCCGTTTATGATATTGATCCACCATATTGGCCATATACATTAGATTATTCTATTAATCATGATTGTATGATTGAACCATGTCCAAGTAATTCATATCCAGGTAAAAATTGTTGTCATTATTGCTAGAATCTATTATTTTTGCTCTTGTTATTTTGAATATTTTTTTGAATATTTTGAAAAAAAATCATTCTTTTTGACAATTAGGATTCTGGGAAGTTGGCATGGTCATGTGGGAAGATCTACGTGGTGGCCGTTGTTCAATGGCTGATGGCTGTTTTAATCCATCGGATGAAGATGGTGTTTATGAAATGGTCAAACGAAATTTTCTTCGCCATTATACATCAAATCGTTCACCATTTGGAATGTATTTCCATTCAAGATGGTTCTTAACTGAACATAATATGAATGGTTTCATTAGATTTTTAGACGAAATGTTACAATTAGATGATATTTATTTGGTCACAAATTGGCAAATGATACAATGGATGCGTAATCCAACACCATTAACACATATGAAAAAATTTTCACCATTCGGTTGTGATTATATTAGAAATCGGCCACCATTATGTAAATCACCACATACATGTAAAGCACGTTTCCGTAATGAAATACGTACATTAAAAACATGTCAAACATGTCCACAATCATATCCATGGACAGGTAATAATGGTAGTGAATAGTAGTAGGTAAAAATTATTATTAAAAATAGGTCAATAGGTTGTTTTTTGTTTTTTTGTTTCCTAACTTTTATTCTCAAACACATAAATATAATATAAAATAGTAAGGAAACAAAACAAAACAAAAAATTCTTAATCAATCAATCAATCAATGACAATTTTGGATTTAAAAATGAGTCTCATTTCAAAAAAAAAGTGTGATTTTCAAAGTCAGTTAGCTCTTATGCTCGCACACGAACACAGACACACCCACCACCCATCCATACAAACACGCACATACATTCATCAATCATCATCATACAGACACATTTTGTTTCAAAGAATTTGATTCATTTGGCATATCGAACATTTAATTTTTTTTGCATATTCTACCCAATAATAACATTGGACATTCATTTTCGTTTGAAACGAAACCAGATTTTCTTTCCATTGTTGGAAAATAATCCAAAAAAAAAACAATCGGACCCAGCAGTTTTTTGTTGAATTGACCACTGGTAATTACAATCCACATCCATATATGTACACTTTATTTTTGTTTACTGTCTGTGATTTACATCACCAAAAAAAAAAATTTGAAACATTGTAATTTTTTTTTAAATACACATTCTGCTACTATTTCCGATTTTTTTTTCTTTGATTGATCATTTTTTTACAAACGTAAACAGTTATGATTTATGTAATAATTGTCAATGTGTGTGCGTGTGTTTTTTTTTGAATTCGAATTCAATTTTCATTGAATTTGGCATTTTTTTTTCTTCGTTTTCTTTGAACAAATTTTTTGCCCGATTTTTTTTCATGTGTGTGTGTGTGTGTCAAACCAATTAACTCTTGCAATTAATCGGGTTGTACCATTTGAAATTTTTTTTCCATTCGTTTTTCCTCATTCACTCATCCATCCATTCATTCATTTTATTCGTTAAATAAAAGATAATTGCAACAACAACAACAAATTGAGAAAATTAAAACCAAAAAAAAAAAAAAAAAAAAAATCCAATAAAGTTGGTAAATTGAATTGGAAAATTGGACAAAAATTAAATAATAATAAAAAAAAATTCGAAACTTGTCTATTGTTTCTACGTTTTTTTTGTTCGTTCGAATAAACTGATTGTTTAAATTCATTTGTTACAAAAAAAAAAACAGCAAGAATTTTACGTTGATTGTAAGCGAGGTTAAAAGCCACGTTTTTCATTTTGATCAATCAATAATCAGACAAAATAAAAAAAAAAAAAATACCGATCGATACGTTTCAATGATCATGAATAGAGGACCACATTCACCGCCTATTTCATCGACAAAGATGATTAGATCAAGTGAAAAATTTTTCACATTAATAGCCGCACAACGATTGTTTCGTACTGATAATGGTGAAGAAATTAATAATACACAAGCACGATTAATGGACAATAAAGGTTTGGAACGAATGAAAAATGATAAAAAATTATCAATTGAACGTAAATTGGTATTAATGTTACCATTTTCAATTGTCAGTAAAATTGTCGAAAGAGTATATCTTGGTGGACTAGCATCATTGACAATTGAGAATTTTCTTCTCTATTCCATACGATTAGTAATCAATGCTTCACATGATTTACCATTGTTAAAAGAAACTGATATTGAATCATATCGTGTACCGGTGAATGATGAAATTACCGGTGATCTTCTTATGTATTTTGATGATGTATCCGATAAGATTTATGAATTTTTACAGAAATTTTCCGAAAACAGTGTACTTATACATTGTATGGCTGGTGTAAGTCGATCAACGACATTGGTTATTGGTAACAAAAATTGTGGCTAAAATATTAAGAAAAAAAAATTAATAATAAACTAATCAATTGTCAATTTTCATTCATATAGCTTATCTGATTAAATATCATAAAATGACCACAAGAGATGCATTCAAATTGGTAAAAACAATACGACCATTTATACGACCAAATATTGCATTCATTGGACAATTGATGGCATTTGAAGAAAAATTGAATGATTTTTGTACAAGTAAAATAATTAAAATTTATTTTGACAATCACCTAGTAAGGATGCCAAGTTTTTATGAAAATGATCATCCAGAATTATATAAACTTGAAATACGTAAACAAACCGGTATTAACATATGATATGATTTTTTTATTTTTATTTTTTCTTTTAAAAAAAAACATCATATATTTTATTAATAAAAAAAATAATTCTTTCAACCAATAGATGGCGATAAAGTAGAATTATAATTCATATTTAGCAGCAACATCAATATTGGACATGACTATTGAAATATATTTCCATCGTCGACGTAATGTTTGTGAATCTAATTTATCTATGGGTCGTTGAAGATATTTTTGCCAAATATCTTGAGGAAAATTCTTTGTACAATTGTCTTTGGTTTCATGACCATAACAAAAAAGGCCAACATCACCGGATATTTCATCAAATGTTTTCGACCAAAATTGACCATTATCATCATAATCATTGCATAGTTTACGATTATTTTCATCAACACATGAATGAAAATAAGCCATTGAACAACAAGCAGCCAATATATGATAATCACGATCTGGTATTTGTTGTATTTGATGTATTCTATGGAAATAATAATCACCACATTGATGAAATTTTTCCATTTTACTATGATCACGTAAACATTGTGAATGTTCAATAAATTTTTTCCCCATAGTTTCATTCATACATCTTTTATTGTATTGTTTGATAATGGTACCATATAATGCATCAGCTGCCATACGTGCTGTACCATGTAAACATTCATCAATATAATCACTCAAACAAATCATTCCATCTTCAAAGGCCCTTTTTTATCAATGAATTATATATGTTTTTTTTTTCAATTACAATCAACTAGTAAAAACAACAACAACAAAAAAAGTTTAATTATACTTACTCACAATTTTGAATATAAAGTCCATCATCGAATGTCAATATTGAATCTCGTTTGCCAAAATAAAGAAATTGTGATGCACATTCTCGATCGATTTTTAATGGTGATGGACAATCACCATTAGTTGGAACATAATTCATTATGGTCAATAATAATGTTATGGCCAGAATCCATACTGAATAATCAATAATCAAATTTAAAATCAATTTATCCAGAATATTCTTAAGATTAATGAAAAGAAAACACACACACACCTGTAAATGGTTCCATGTTTTTATGTTTAGTTTGGTTGCTGATGAATTTCATGAAAGATTCACACACATCAATCGCGCGAGTACGAAAGAAAAGAAAATGAGAAAAACAAGAATTTTTTTTTTTTAGATATGCAAATGTTTTTCTTGTCTTTCTGATTTAATTGATTTTAATCATTTTTTTTTTCTTCACCAACAAAAAAAACGATTAATAAATCATTTCAATGACAATTAATGATTTCATATGCATCGTAATTAAGAGAATTAATTATTCTGTGTGCTACTGACATTAATTATATTCTTTTCTCTTTTTTTTGTTAATTTCGATGACATCATCAAATCTACCCTCATCAATTCACTCCCTTTTGTTTCATCAATAATTAATCATCATCATTTATAATCATACGTTGATGTAATGATAAAAAACTTACCATTGGCTTCAAAGATATGGTTCATTGGTTGTCATTGAAAATTCAATTCGTTCAATGATGGAATTCAAAAATTTTTTTTTTTTTTGCAAGCATGAATGAAACAAAATATTGTTTTTGATTCATAAACATGTGCAAATATTTTTCATATGATGATAAAACAAAAAATTTGATTTCATTCTTTCAATACATTTATGATGATGATGATGATGATGATGATGATTATGATCAATCAATCTCCTGATGATCATCAAATGTAATTTTAATGATCATATATATTCGATTATAATGATTATGTGATGTGTTGATTATGTTGATTGATTGTTGGATTTTACAAGAAAAAAAAATTTCATTTCTGTCTACAAAAAACAAAACAATTCACCAGATTATGATCATTCAACGCTTAATCATCAATAGTATGATCATCGATATATTTTTTTTTTCTTTTGATGATTTTTGTCATCAAATCTAAATGATAATAAACAAGTAAATTTTTGAAATTCATATGAATACAAAATTCTCATGGAGGAAAAAAAATGTTCCAACTGTTTATATCTATTTTAACTTTGATCATTACCATTACTGGTTGATTCAGAAAAAAAACAGAATATTCCCATTTACAAATAAACTTTTATTTGACCAAAAAAAAAAGTTGTTGCCCTCGGAATTTTCAAATATGCAAAAAAAAAACTTTATGTTAGCGATAAATGTTCAAACATTTACGGATCCATCCTATCCTATATTCTATTCGTGGGCGTGTGTGTGTGTGTGTGTGTGTTTGTGCCCAAAAAACACATCAAAAAGTAATGATTTCATACACAAAATACATCTAAATTAGATTAGATAATGGAAAAAAAACAGCAAAATTGTGTATAATTTCTTTTTCGTTTTTCAATCTCTTATTGTTAATTCAAATAGTTCAACGTACATGATATGATGATACGATTCTTATGTGATAAGCCTGTCAAAAATAAAATTGTGACCAAGTGGTAAAGTACGACGACTTGTTGTTGTTATTTTTCTTTTTTTTCGGGTCATATCTATCTCATCATCATCATCATCATCATAATATATCGATGATGATGATGATGATGACAAGAAACTGTATACAAATGAACAAAACTGGTTATTATAATATACACCATATACTTGTTGAACATGGACATCATGATTATGATGATGATGATCATCATATATGAAGACAAAACAGTGCTTGTACAGTGTACAATGTACACACTGTACACACATACAAACAAATATGACGGCTTGAAACAAACAAAGCATAATGCCATGGCATGTGAGTGAGCCGAAAATTTTTTTTTCTTTTTCTTACATTTTTCCACAGTTTATTATTTATCATCAATATTTGATGACGATTTTCTTTTTTGAGATTAAACAGTAAAAAGTGTTCAACATTAACATTGAATATAACTAACATTTTTCTAATATCTTCTCTGTTATAAATATTCGAAAATCACGATCGTCGTCGTCGTCAAAAAAAAACTTTTGTCGTCATTTTTTTTTTGTTGTTGTTGTTTATTCAAGTTGCTCTTCAACATTGTACACATCATCAAAAATAAAGAAAGTAACAAAAAAAAAAAAAATTCGATTAAAAAGTTTTTCAACATTCACGTTTCATTCAATTTGTTTGAAAAAAATATCAAAATATGGCTGAAAAAATGAAAAAAATTTCCAACCATGTGATCAATTGTAATGCTGGACCAGCTCGTGTTCCATATGATGTTTTACGTAAAGCACAAGAAGAATTAATTTATTATGAAAATACTGGAATCAGTGTTATGGGTATTGTTTTTTATATACATTTTTTTCCCGTGTGTTTGTGTGTGTATGATGGCGGAAATTATGGCCACATCCGTTCTGATCACAGACACACACACACACACATATCCATGCATATTTATTAATTTTACTTTGTATATATCATTTTGCATAGAAATGAGCCATCGTTCACCGGAATTTGACAACATTATACGTACGGCAGAAAAATTGCTTCGTGAAATAATGTAATATATAATAAAATTGATTTTTTTTTTTAGTTTAATATTTTCATTAATATTGATTTGAAATTATCGATTAATTAAGGACCATTCCCGATAATTATCGAGTATTATTCGTACATGGTGGCGGTACCGCACAGTTTGCATCGATACCATTGAATCTTTGTCCAGAATATAAAGGTTGTAAAGTTAATTATGCAATCACTGGTACATGGTCCGAAAAAGCAGCTAAAGAAGCTGAAAAATATTGTCATGTTTGTCGTGTAACACCAAAACTTGATAAATTTACTTCCATACCTGATGTGGATACTTGGAAGGTATTCTATTATATTTTTATTTGTTTAGAAATTTTTTTTTTTGTTGTCGAATGTTATTGATTTTTTTCTTTCATTTCTTTCATATTTTTTTTTCGTGCACCGTTTTTCTTAACATTGGAATATTTTCCTTCCATGATAAAAATGGAAACAACGATGAATGTATAACGGTTTTTTATTTGGATTCGGCATCAAATACATATATTTATGTAAACAATGTAGATAGATCCTGATGGCAAATATTTATTCTATACTGACAATGAAACAATCGCTGGCGTTGAATATCAATATCAAGTTAAACCATTCAGTGATACAATGCCCGTTGCTATTGATATGACATCGAATTTTCTTTCAAGACCTATTGATGTTTCTAATTATGGTGTTATTATTGCTGGTACACAAAAAAATGCCGGTATTGCTGGTCTAGCCATCGTTATTGTTCGTGATGATCTACTTGGTAAACCTATGTCCATTTGTCCAACAATTTTGGATTATACAATATTGAACAAAATGAATTCTCTTTATAATACACCACCATGTTATCCAATATATATGACTAGAATTTATTTACAATGGATTAAAGATCAAGGTGGCCTTGAAGTAATGGGCGATCGTTCAGATCAACGAGCAAGATTAATCTATGATACTGTTGATCAATCAAATGGTTTCTATTACAATGGTGTTAATCCAAATTGTCGTAGCCGTATGAATGCAGTATTTCGTATCGGTGGCCAAAAAGGTGATGAACAATTGGAAAAACAATTCATACAGGAATGTAAAGAACGTAAAATAATTGGTGTCAAAGGACATCGTTTGGTTGGTGGCATACGTGTATCAATGTTCAATGCAATGCCAGTTGAAGATGCTAAATTTATTTCCGATTTTATGATTGAATTCATGGAATTGAATCGGAAATAGTAAGTGAAAAAAAACCACATTTATTCTGAATGAATTTCTGTTCCTATACATTGCATATATATATTCTGATTTAAAAAAAAAACCAAAAATGGAAATTTTTTTTTCACGTTTTTATTGAATGAAATATTCAAATTTTATTTCTGTTCCATTTCTATTTTTATATTTCAATAAAAAGAAATGTGCCAAACAAAACGAAATAGTCTACATTATCAAAATTGTCATTTACAAAATGGAAGAAAAAAAATTAAATATGAAAATTCCATTGCCATCACCATCAAAAAAAAAAAAAAAAAAAAAAATGAACGATAATTATTGCTGTCAATTAAACTGAATTCAATTCAAGTATATATATTGTCTATATAAGTAAGTAAGCTTCTTAAACGATTTATATTTTTCTTCGTCATCATTATCAACTTCATAGATGCATACAAATTACAATAGTCAATTTGGATTGAAGCGAAATATCATTCATCAATCCACTATGACTATGTTATGGATGAATATATGTATTTTGCTTTTCATATATATATGAATTGAATGTATTGTGTTGAAAATAAACAACTTTAAATGTATAATAGTGATGATGTGATGTGATGTGATGTGTTTGTTGTTGTTGTTGTTGTTGTTATTATTGATGATGTTGTTTGTTGAAATTTATTTATCCAGTAATTTTTTTTTTTTCGTTGTTCAACCAACCACTATTCATTTGTTGATTTGTGTTGTTGTTGTTGTTGTTGTTGTCATATTTTTTATATTTATTTTTTTTTATTTCTCTCTCAAACCAAAATGGAACTCCATTTCAGTATGTTGATCGTCAACAACAACAACAACATCAGCTGACAAGAAGAATACCATTGTCATCATTATCATCATCAACAACAAACTTCCGTTGACACATGTGAACGTTCTTTTTTCTTCCAAATGGAATTTGGTTCTGAGTTTTTTTTTCTTCACTCTTTTTTTTCTCGTTGTTGGATCTATTATTCATTTTTTCAATATACATAACCATGAATAATGAGTTATAACTGTCCCATATATTTTCTTCTTCACTATTACTGGTTTTGTATGTTTGTGTTTGTGTTTTTTTTTTATCTATCGCAACCAACATGCTATACAATACGCGCGTCCATTAACGCTATTGAGCGGATTTATTTTTGCTGTTGTTGTTGTTGATGTTGTTGTTGTTGTTGTCTATCTAAAAGCCAAAGAATGGATGAAAAGGATAGTAAAAAAAAAAAAAAAAAAAATTCCAGTTAATCTATGTAGAGATGGTTGGATGTTTTAACCAAAAAAATTCTTCTTGTTTCTTCCTATTCATTATTGTTCATGATGATTTTTCAATGTTTGTTTGTTTTTAATTTCGTTGAATCGATGTTCAAATTTTAATTATAATTCCTGATTAATTTATTGCGATAATGATGACAAAAAAAAACGGGATAATGATGACAAAAAAAATTAATTTGAATTTTGAATCCCATGTTCCAGTGTTTTTAATCTTCCTGTATTTACTGTCTATTATTGAGATTGTATTTCCGATCGAGCAATTTGAATTAATCACTTGAATTTTTATTTCCATTGTCATTTCTGTTGTATGTGGTTGTTGTTGTTGTTGTTGTTGTTATTGTATTTTGAGTCCTTCTGTTCTCATAATTTGGTACTTGATTTCGTAACATATCACATGATTATGATTCAAAAAAAGGGAAAAAAATTTTACGGCATTTTTTTTCATTGGAATTCTGTCAATCAATGTGAACTTTTTTTCTTTTCTGTCATTTTTTTTCTACCATCATCATCATCATCATCATTCAAGATTTAGACACTTCAAATAATAATCATGATGATGTTTATGGTGATAATAAGAACCGAAGAATATTTTTTCCAATTTTTTTTTTCATATACACCGACACATCAAACTAAACGTTAATCATTAAAAACTGTTGAATTGAAAAACCATTGAATCTTAATTCCATATAGTAAAATTCTGAAAAAAAAATTGTAAATCAATTTTCTCAGGAAAGAATCTCTCTCTCTCTCACACACACACACACACAGACAAGTGAAAATATTCAAATTAAACAATCTTATTCAAATGGATTTTGTTTGTCGAATAATAATCACATGTGTTTATTGTCAAAAAGTTTTGGAATAACCTGTGATTTGTTATTTTTATAAATTTTTCATTCAAATATGGAAAAAAAACTTATTGTAAATTATTGTATTTCATATCAATCAAATGGAAGAAAAAAAAATTTTTCAATGAAAAAATCAATAATTTAAACGTGGCAGTTTTTCTATACAATACATTGATCAATGCTCGTTAATATTATGATGATGTCTAATGGTAAAGAATATGAATCGGAATCTAATTCTGCTACAATTTGTATAAATTTAAATATTGTTCATTTGTGTGACATAACAACAACAAAAAAAAAAATGAAATGAATTGAATTGAATTGAATTAAATTAAAATGAAAATTTAAACATATATCAATTGTCATTGTCATCATTGTTATTATCATTATCAATTGCTGCATCGTTATATTGCAATCAAAATGAAAAAAAAATGCATTACACATCTGTCATTCTCTCTCTCTCTTTATATATACATTTCTATATTTCAATTGGATTCATTTCAATCATATATGAATTGGTTGGTTCAATGATTACTTTAGTATTTTCAAGAGCTGTTTTCATTTCAATTTTTTTCCAATTTATTTTCATTTTTTTTTGTTCGTAATATTTGTCATCATCATAAATAGAATGATAATGATTTGTCATCATGTGTGTGTAATGAAGTTCATTAAGAATGATTTTTGACCAATGATTTGTTGCTCATAAAAATTGGACTAGTGCTGGAATTAGATTCTTGGTTAGATGTGTGTGATGAATGATAATCATTATGATGTGTGTGTGTGTGTTATAATTAATGCAATTCTAGGAATTGAAGTTCATTAAGTTTGTTTCTCAATCACATTGGATTTTTTTTTTGACCATCTTTTACCTATTCAGATGTGTTTTGAAGTGTATACAATTGTGTACACTTGAATAATGAAAATTGGACTAGTGCTGGAATTAGATTCTTGGTTATTTTTGATGTATTTTTTTTCATAATAAATACCATGATGAATGATAATCATTATGATCAAAATATATATCTACATCGTTGCTAGTGACACACACAAACATCTCCACCCACAGACACACACACACACACACACACACACTATACTAGGCATTTGAAAATGTTTTTTTTTTTGCTCCATTATAATTACATGCAATTCTAGGAATTGTTTCCTTTCATCTTTACAAATTAACATAAAGATGGAATATAGAATCAAACGCACACGCACACACAAATGGTTAGATGAAAAACTTGTACACAGAAATTGTTTCATATTTTTTTTTTTTTGTCGATAATATTCACTTGTTTCATCTTTAATTTCATCAATCCTCGGGTTTATTATATCGCCCACACACACACACACACACACACACACACACACACACTTGTAAAATACAATTACTAATGATGAAAAATTCTGATCAGTAAACAAACAAAAAAAAATCATCAAATGAATCCAATTCTACATGAATACATACATTTATTCTATACATCATATGATTTAGTAAACACATACCGAATAACAATAATCAACTCGGAATCTTTTTCTTCTTCTTCTTCTTAGTCATTCAAGTCTGAAAAAAATAAATAAAAGTTTCTTAGTGTCCAGTTTTGTATATTTTTTTGCTCTTTTTTTTCTTTCATTTTTTTCCAAAGAAAATGAGTTATGAAGAAGAAACAAAAATATATAATTCCTAATAGGATCTTGTTCATACATTTTCATTTTATTTTTTTCACATTCAACATTTACATCCACATCATCCATATTCTTGTAGAAAACAAAAGCAAAACAGCTATCGTTTTTTCGCGCTTTTTTTTCACCACATCAAATACATTTATATATACAATATACATATATAAATGCAACGCAGACATATGGTCTCAGGCAATCACTATCCATCAGTCATGGATATTTATTCTAGTTTCTTGTTGGACTGTTGAGTCAGCGGACCATATATTTGCAAGAGAAAGAGAGAGAGATAAAGAGAGAGAATATTAAAAAAAAATATCCATACAATCCAATCGTAGAATAAAGGAAAGGAAGCCAACATTCCATGCAGTGTGTGCGCGCATCGCCAGCATTATTGTTGCAACCACCACCAACAACAACAACAACAATCCAAGCCCACAATATAACCAGAAACAAAAAAAAAATCCATGAAACTATCATCATGGTTATGGTTAAAAAAAGAAGTAGTAGAGGCTATAGATTTTTCTTTCCAAAAATGTAAAAGGTAATAGCAAAACGTGAAAAAAAAGATGAAAACTTTTTTTCCATCTATATTCTTTCGACTGTTTTGTAATAAGAAGAAAAGTGATGTGAATATATATGGAATTTAAAACCAAAAAAAAAAGCAAATGAATTCTTTTCATCATTTTTTTTCTTTCTCTCTTTCTCTCTACTATATCGACATTCAGTTGGTGTCGAATGCATCATTCATTCAGTTTGACGTGCATGCTTGTGTGGTTCATGTCTCAAAAACAAAATTTCAATATTCTTATTCATTACTACATAATGTAATTCTGTTATTACTTGTTGTTGACAGGTAGATTAAATGGATATTTTGTTGTTGTTGTTGTTGTTGCTACACAGAATGATACATGATACAATGATTATGTTGATTTTAAGTCTGCTTGAATTCCAGAAGATAACTTGAAAATAAAAAATTAAAGTTTTTTTTTCATTGTGCAAATGTATTTTGTACGTGTGCGTGTGTGTGTTATTCAATTTAATTGATTTAATTTTTTTTTGTAAATAATGAAATGAAAAAATTCTTCGATTGAATATTCCTTTTTTGAACAAAAATTCTTAACTTGTTGTTTTGTGGCCATGCAATGTGATTCAGTCAATTCAAATAAGTAAGTATATTCCAATGGTAAGAATAACCTAATAATGATGATAATATTGTATGAATGTGACGAAGAATTCAAATTCTTTTCCTGTAGAGAAATTGTTGAGAAAAAAAAAGTTTA